CCATTTAGGACTTTACATTCATTACTTCTAACCGAACAAAAAAAAAAAAATCATTCATTTATATTTACATACATTCATCCAAACAACTCCAAATTATTTTCTTTTACACTGTATTTCAAATATTTCACACCCCAAAGTAATCAAACCAAACAGCCCCTTAAAGAAAACCTTTTGAAGGAATTAACTTCTTCAAGCTCTCTAATATCCCTTTGAAAAATACTTCTTCTATATTAGTTTTAATAATCTTTCTACATATCAGATTTAACTTTCATGATGATACTTAAATAAGAATGCGTTAAAGTAGGGGTGTCAAAATGGATTTTCGGGTTAGGTTTGGGTCCAACCCGAAATTGACTCGCCTTCAAATGATTCGGCCTGAACTTGACTTGATTAGATTTACGGGCTAGAAATTTAGACCCCGAACCATCCTGCTAACATGCTGGTTCGAGCAATGCAACATGCAAGTTTTGAGTCTTGGCCGCGTGATGCGAGGGGCAAGCTCGAGTGCTAGATGAGGGCGCGACCACGAGCTGGCGAGCGAGACTGCATGAGCGTAGGTGCTAGCGTTGGTGCCGGAGCGACGTGAGAGTGGGAGCGAGGCTACCAACGTGAGTGTGGGGGTCAGGTAGGTGAGCGGGACTGCGGGTTACGGGACACAAGTAAAATTCTGGTCATGTTTGGGTTAGCGGGTTGGCCCAAACACAACTCGATTTTTGAAACGGTTCAAGAATTAGGACATGAATTCGATCCATTTGTTAAATGGGTTAATCCATAATTGGATTTTTCGGGTTTAGTTCGTAGGTTTTCGGGTCATGTCAAAATTGACACCCCTAAGAGGTATTTGGGAAAGCTTGTTAACCATTTTGTTGGTTCTTCCTTTCTTTCTCTTGATTACCAGATTGAATTGTTTGAGTTAAATTATTCACTTCATACGGGAAACTTGCATAGCTTCATTTGAGCCTACAAGAAGTGACCTATGGTTCATATGTGCTGCAATTTCTTTTCCCATAAGGCGAGCATGTAAATGTTTCACTGCTCGATGCAATGTCAACAACTTTTTGTCATGGGTGGGATAGTTATTTTGAGCTTATTGAAACTTCTAAAAAGACAAGAAACATGCATGATGCATCCCATTTTGCATTAATATTGTTCACATTACATATCCACTAACGTTTGCATCTAGTTTGAATGATCAAGCTTCAAATTTGTCGAGGTTAGTCCAACGACCTCACTTATATTCTTCTTCAAAAAGAGAGATGTATTCTTTGCATTTGGCTCAATTATAATTTAGCATGACCCTTATCAAAACATGTAAAGGAGAATATGTACTAAAAAATGAAACTTATATGCATATTGGCAGGCTGTCATGAAACTCCACACATCGATCACTATTTGTGGTTTGGCAACCACGTCTCCAATGCTTTCACTTTTTAATATCAATCTTGATCACTTTATTGCTTACCTTAAATCCTAGGTGTAAGATGGATTTTTTGGTGTATTTACACTTCGTTTGGTTAAGGTGGAGCTATATATGCTACAATAGATAAAATATTCTTCTTAAGAGCTCCTTGCGCTCTTCCCATGACTTGAAAACTAAGATATCTAAATATGCAATAAAAAAGTCATACAAGAACAGTCATAAAGCATTATTTTTGAACCTCATGAATGTAGTTAGGGTGTTATAATGTTTGAATGACATGACCAACCCCTCATAAAACCCTATTATCCATCTCATTAATGTGCACTTGATGATAGCTAGATTTGAGATCCAACTTGGTGAAGATGGTTACAGGTTTCTGTTGATCCAGCAGGTCATCAATGTGCCACAATAAATGATGATTGTTTACTATGATTTTATTGAGAGCGCAATAGTCGTTATAGTTTCCATGCGCCCTCCTTTGTCATCTTTACGATTGGTGATCCATAATTCAAATCATTAGATTGAATAACTCCATTCTCCATCAACCTTGCAACCTACTTTATGATCTCTTCATTCTTGAATATTGAGTTCTAGCACACCCGAAGGTTTGGTAATGACATGCCTAAAATCAACTGAATATCATGATCTATGGATCACTGTCGTGATAACCCATATACCTCCTAAAAGAGAAATGCATAATTTACTTATAGTTGTTATAGTTGTACATGTTCAACCTTGCTTGATACAGATAAAGCCATGCTCCTTTCTTCCTAAATAATAAACATGATAAGAAGAAATACAAATATTTTCTTTTACATCTACAATTTTACTTACCTTCCTTGCCGTTATGATGTTCGTTGTTATTATTGTATTAGACCATAATCCTTCAATAAGTACTTTTTCCCATCCATAGTTATCTTAGTACTGGTAGGGATGGCGATACAACACTGCATACCTTTCATGCCGGTATGCATTATCAAAGTTAGTTAGTTAGACGTTAAGTGGAATCACCTCGTATATCGTCTCATGGATGTAGTCCTTTGTTATTGCACATTTAACTATCATTAGTAGTCTATTCTTGTTCCCCACCCCTTTAATCTAGTACAAGAGATGACATTTGGTTAGATATATTATCCAATCCCATCTTTTGCATCAGAGTGGCATAAATGAAGCTCTTTTGGTTGGTGATTTTGCTGATTACATTTGCTTGGCCTAAATCTTCAAAGTGAAGAATTATTCTTGAGTGTCCAAATTAGGAGGCGACCTCTACTATAGCCTTTGGCGTATCTATCAAAGATGGGGATGGATATACATTGTTCGTTGGACAAAGCTTGGTGTCATCCATGACAACTACACTTGTCATTCCTTTCCAATCCTTTCTCTTTTTTCTTAAGAGTTCAGGGCGCAGACCTTCTAGCTTTTTTCTTAGCATGGCCTGATATTTTGACAATGATCACATAACTTCCTTGCAAGATTTTATTTAATGGTGGTGGCAAGTCTTGAAATATTACTTATCATTTTGCCTATCTTTTTGTTCTTTGAGAAGTTAAAAGTCATTCCTTAGACAGTTTTGGTCCTATCTCCTTCCTTAATTCTTGCATTCTACGACCAACACCATCATTCTAGCATGAATGAAATGAATGATTAGAAACAAGTGGAGCTCATTTTTGAATGTTGACTTGTGTTTCCTCCGTTTGTACATACCATTGATTTACTCCTAACGTGATTGCATGGCATCAGAATTAAGTAGTGTAAAAATTGCCTTGGCATTGTCTCACATTGTACTCACCATTTTCTTCCACTGATCTTCTACATGCCTCATTGAGTAGAACCCTTGACGTATCAACTATTTGAACATCCCCCAAGTCACCATTTGATGATCATTCATCTTTAGATGTGGATTCCACCACACTAAGGCATATTGTCTTAACTTAATTCGGGTAAAGGCAATCTTATCATTGGTGCTATGCCCATACATGATGAAATCTCCAACTGGTTGATCCATGCATCCAGTTTTTTGGCATCAATTATCCCATAATATGTTGGAATCTACACTTTGGCTTCTAACTGGAATGGCGATATCCTTCCTTCATGAGTGCTAGTCATATTGTCATCTTTATCCTTTTCCAATCAGGTTTGCTTTTGGTATGTCAGGAGGAGGAATGCGACTTGCACCCTAGTCATGGTAGTGTGTGTTTGCATCCTTATCCAATTTAGCCAAGGATTCATTAATCTAGCTACTTAGTCGACTAGATTTGTTGTAGAGTCATTATGAGTTGCTCTCAACTTTATATATATATTATATTTTTTACTTTTGATGTGTCTGCATTACAAGAAACAATTCTCCCTTGTTTTTTTTATCTTTTCATTGTTTTTACCTTGCAACAAAGATTTGTTCTGTGTCACCAACTTGATCCAATTCACTTGAGCTTGGCTACTTATCCCGCATCCAATATGAGGAATTTATGAAAGCCATTTTGGGTTATTCAAACATTCCAATGGGAAATATTTTTTTTTTCTATAGAAACCCTATTGATGCCTAGAATTTTTTGGTGTTTGGATAAGGTGTTGACTGTTGATTATCTTGAGCTCTTTTAAAAAATTTAGGATTCTTGGTTGAAACTCTAGGAAAACTTATTAGGAATAGTTGTCTAACGTTGTATCATTTGATGTCTTCTGAAGTGATTAAATGATAGAGCTTAATGGAATCTTTGTGTTGAACTCATGTGAAACCTTAATCCCTCAAGCATCAATGCTTACAACTTCTTTTTTTTGTGGAATGAACACTATAAAGTTTTTAGAAGACATTAAAGGCGAGTTTGGTGAGGATGCGATGTCTCCACAGAACCTTCGACAAATGTGGTCAAAGCCTTTTTCTTTTGTACATCTGCCCACACAAAAATAAGGCCACGTATGGGCTGCTACCCTAAACACTCTCTTAGTAAATTAGCAATTAGGCATGCATCTACTAGAATAAAACTGATCGTGCATCTATCCCGATCAAACCAATTCTAATCTCGGTGAAAAAAAATTTGTGTTTTTCCCTTCTGGTTTCTTATGGGTTGAAAGAATTGATTATGCCTGCTTTGCTCGATTTTTTTTAATTTCATTGTGCATGCGATGGAATAATATTTTCAATTGACCAGCATAATATTGCACTCTTGCTAATTTTTGAAGAATTTGATGAAAACTCTGAAAAATTTCAGAAAGAAGTAAAATGATGAGATATGATTGATATGAAAATAGAAAGAAACTTGCAAATGTTCTTCTATTTTCTAGACTGAATGTTTTGTGGAGAGTAATGAATGGCGAAAAGATTATATTCTAGTGAGAGTGATAAATTGCTCAACTCCAAGAACCAAAGTTTCTTAGAAAAAAGGTTTTTCATTATTTTTCCTTGAATGATTATACTTGAATGAATCAATGTTTCTGTTGTGTCATCCGCACCCGAGCACTTGTTTGAACTACTTTCCTTAAGATTTACCTTTCTGAAAGAAATCTTACATTCTTTTTTTTTTTGGTAGCCATCTTTAGCCTCATCTGTCTCTTTCTAGGGCAAGTGCTCACGATTTTAATGCAGGCATGTGGCCATTATTGAAGCTAAAAAGGGTAACCCGCCCGTAATGCCAGCAGTCATGACACCAGGAGGACCGCTTGATCTTTCATCTATTTTATTCCGCAACCGCATAATCTTTATAGGGCAGCCTGTGAATTCTCAAGTTGCCCAACGTGTTATATCTCAGCTCGTAACGCTTGCAGCTGTAGATGATAGTGCTGATATTCTGGTATATTTCTATTTAATTTTTATTAATGATGAATTGATTTAATTACACAATCTTTTCTTCAACGGTATTGCAGATATATATTTGCCAAATTTTATATTGTACAATTTTCTGTCATCAAATTATGATTGCAAAATGGTTAAGTATGACATCAAAAAGCTGCATTTTTTTTTTCTTTTTTCTTTTGCTGAATGATGTAGTTATACTTTGATCTAAAAAATGATGGAATTTGACAATTTTTTTTTTGCTATTTTCCTATTGTCATTCTCCGTCCTGTCAATTACAGCTATTCCTTGTTTTTCCTGAATTCGAACACATTTTTTTGTCCTTTGTTTTTCCCACTACGTTTAGAGAAAATGGAAAACAATCTATACGCCCTTTACCTGAAAAAATTGAACAAGAAAAACATTTAGCATGGTTAAACTAGTGTATGTTGAATGAAACAATTTGTATAATTTGGCTGGAGTCGTTTGGATTGCTGGTAGGTGACAATGACGTGTTGGGAAGGGTTAACCATTTATTATAAGAAAACTTTCTTGGTTTTATTATTGAAAAAAATTACAATTTATTCTTTCTCGAATTTGTCTAAAATGGGTATGAAGGGGAAGTGATGATTAGGCCACGAGTTGAAAAGGGCAATTGATTAATGGGATAGGTGAAATCTTCTTATATATTGAGTCATTTTGAGATATGTTGAATCTTGGTAAAGGGTGCAGACCTTAAGGATAAAACAGTTTTTAAATGCTGCGATTTTTAAATAGTTTTACAATCCTTGAAATATGCAAATGGCGACTTTGAAAATTTGATTATTCTAACTTTAAGATCTATAATATTCTTTTCAGATATATTTGAACTGCCCTGGTGGAAGCACTTACTCAATATTAGCAATCTATGACTGCATGTCATGGGTAAGTTGTTGTAATGTTTACTTATTTAAGGTCTGTTTGGTTGCCTATAGTAAGCATGCATATATTTTAATTTTGTATAGTACAGACAATGTTTTTTGTTTTTTAGTAGCTGTTCGAATGGTTGTGAAGTACATGCAAATAATTTAGCCTATTTGGCTATGTAAATTACATTGAAACTAATTTTCTATTTGGTTGGCTGGAAATTTTGAGTCCTATATTCTAATAAAAGAAGCGTTGAGATTATCTTTTGCAAAAATAGTTAACAGAATCTTATCCAATCGATTGTCTAAATCAGTAAACGTCTACTGGTTACTAAATTATATACCAATCACTTTTATGAGAATTCCACTAAATAAACAATAGAATTAGGAACAAAAGCCTAAGAAGAAAATGAACTTTTTGCCCATTTTTATTAAGAGTTTGTAATTAAATACAAAGAACTAAGAACATAACAACAAATTTTTCTTTGAAATAGCCGAAGTTGAGCGACTGAACTACTAGAACAGAAAATGCCTTCTTCCATTCCGAGTTGGATGAGGGGAAATTTTCCACCTTGGAAACTAACTAAAAGTCCCATTTCATTAATGATTGACTCTTTCTTTCCATAATAGAATCCCGAATCTCCTATTTGATCTTGCAGATTGGCGTAGGCATTATTTTATTATATTCTCGATCAACTAAATTGATGGAGATGTGTAGAAGACAACTAGGGACGATTTGGATCAAGCATTCATTCAATTTATCTTACAAATGGTTTTCATTCAATGCATATTGATGTTTCAATAATTCAATGGTCTGTATAAAAGCCATAAATTCCAATTTTTAGAAATAAGGTTACAAATAGAAGGCCAAATATTTTGAAATCAATTCTAATTCTATCCATAATTAAATGCAATCCTATATATCATTTAATTCAACCCTCCAAATAGGTTAACTAAACATAATAAAGTAAATAATATAAAAATATGATATTATTCAACCAAGTAAACCTAAAAGGTCTTGAAAATTATTCTGATTTAACTTCTTTGTAGCCCAATTTGACTCTTTTTAATTGGCGCATGCAAAATTAGACCTTTGCGGCTGATTTGATTGAACAGTCAGTCAATTGTATTCACTTGACCTCGAAGAACCTTTTTTTACTGGTTATGGCCAAGGTGGAGGAGGCGATATTATTGGGTCATTTGAAGGAAGAGGTGGTCATGCAGTACAGAATGCAGCAGCAAGAAGTCCTGAGAATACACAGATCTGGAAGCTTTGGATGTTGTGCAATTTCAAACTTTCATATATCTGTGTGAGCTGACAAGATTAGCTTTCCAAATTTTGTACATTTATTCAAACAATAGCATATAGGATGGCTTGAACAGGTCGCTTTAATTGCTCAGGTCACTGATTTTTCCACTTGTTTGCCGATTATCTTCGCACACATTTGCCCTGGCCTTCGTTTATTTTCATTTAGCTATGCGCTCTCTTAAAGCTTTAATATTCTCTTAGCTCTTGATGCATGGTGCTTGAAGTCTTGAACATTTCATAGATGGTATGTATAAAGAATTTTTTATAACCTATCACTGGGCATGTCCAATGTTGTTCTTCACCGTCCTAACTGTCAGTGAAGATGGAGAACAGTGGGAAACATGTTCCTAGTTGCTGAATGGGTAAATTGAGTAGAACTTTCTCACTTTTTCACGGAGTTTTTTGGGCTGATGCGCATATTAGGACTTCGAAGCAATCAGTCCAATCACCTCCCTAATAAGCAACAAATTTAGGGTTGAAGAATTAAATATTACCATGAGATGTAGCTAAATGATTCAGGTTTCTGAAAGATTCAATTCTAATTGATCCTATACGAGCTTATGGTTTTACAAAGTGTCAGGGTAGAATAGCTTTGGCAGTTGTTGGTTCACTTCAAAAATATGCGCTAGTTAGATATGCTAATCATGTGCATTGATATTGGTTCTATCTTTATGTTATAGTTTTGAATTTTGGTGTAATTGTTTCTTTAATATTAATACGTATGATAATTGAATGTGTCCTCTAGTATTTTTATTATCTTGATGGGATTGGTTACTATTGTAATGTTTTGATTTAACCATCATTCAATTCCCTAAACCAGTTATTCCAATTTGTCCCCTCAGCATAACCTCTGTTTCGGATTCATGCTTGCTTGTGGTTTTGATACTGTAGTTTTTTGCCTTGACGTTAGAAATTGATCACTTCAACCTTATGGCTATGTGCTTTCCCTTTGGATTTGTATGGATTTTCCCTTGTGCCAAACAAGCTTTGCTTTCTTTAGCTGGAGTCTTCTATTTCCTTTCTATGCATGATTCACAGCCTGCATAGTTGTTGAAATCAGAGTGTGCTCTCTCTGCAGGTTTCCTTTGGTGTTGATTCCTTACTATAGCAAATAGTCATCTAGGAGGTTTCATTCTTCACTTTTCTACTGTAGCATGGGAGTTGGCTGCTTCTTTTCACTTGTGACTTCCCTTTTTAGGCACTACAGAGGTTTTCCTTATGCGGTTGTTTCATTCTCAAGAATTATTGCTATATTTGGTTCTCGACATTGCATTGTAGCAGATTGAGTGATTTACTGGAAATACTTAAATCGGGTTTGGGATTTGCTTGAATTGCTGGAATCGGGATTTTTAATTTGGAAACTCACTGTTTTGCTGTAAATAAGAATGAAATCTTACGGTGTTTGTTGGAATTCAATTGAAACTCAAAGTATTAGGCTAGATCTTGGAGTATTTTGGGAAGTTACTATTTTTTGGACATTTTTTGTAGTAAGTAGGTGGAGGCCCTTAGCGTGCAAAATTTAGTTGATGATTTTATAATATTCTAATTACCTCTCTAACTCCATGTTATTGGATGTGAATTCTTAGAGTGCTTGAAAGTTTTGGCTACAAATTATGAGGGAATATTCTCCTTGCATCAAGGATCAGCCTTAAGCCCATATCTTTTTGCTTTAGTCATGGATGTTCTCGCTAGACATTTGCAAGAGGATGTACCTTGGTGTATGCTTTTTGCTAATGATATTCTTCTTGTTGATAAGACTAGAGAGGGAGTTGAAGGTAAACTTGAATTATGGAGGTCAACCTTAGAGTTTAAAGGTTTTCGCTTGAGTATATCTAAAACGGAATATATGGAGTGTAATTTTAGTAGTAATAGACCTAGTGAGGGGATTGTGACTTTGGGCGATCAAGTCATTAATAAGAGTACACGTTTTAGATATATTGGATCTATTGTTCAGAGTGATGGTGAAATAGATGGGGATATTATCAGCAGAATTCTAGTTGGATGGTTGAAGTGGAGGAATGCATCGGGCTTGTTATGTGATAGAAGTGTACCCCTCAAACATAAGGGAAAATTCTATAAGATGGTAGTGAGGCCTGCAATTGTTTATGGCGCCGAATGTTGGCCATTAAAAGAGAAGTATAATACTAAGTTAAGTGTGGCAGAGATGAGGATGCTCAGGTGGATGAGTGGCTTTACCCTTAGAGATAGGATACGAAATGAGCATATACGTGTAAAGGTTGGAGTAGCTCCAGTAGAAGATAAGATTAGAGATCGCCTAAGTGGTTTTGTCACATAAAACGGCGGCCTTCAGATGACCCGGTTAGGAGAGTAGAGGTATTAGATTTGACTTATGTTAAGAAAGTTAGGGGTAGACCTAAAAAGACTTGGTTAGAAAATATTATGAATGACCTTTCTTTATTAGATTTAAACGAGAATTTGACTTTTAGTAGGATACAATGGAGAAAAAAGATTCATAAGACCCCACGTAGTGGGATAAAGGCTTGATGTTGTTGATGTTGTTGTTGTTATTGATGTAAGGTTTGGATCTTCTAATTGATAATTTCTATTCTTATTCCTTCTTCTAATCTTTTTATTGGTTGGTTTGTGTATGCGATTGAGATATTGTCAAATTTGATGCACTAATTTCCTTTTTGTGGTGTGAATCTTAACTGTGAAATGCCTTTGTAATTTTGCCAATTGGGACCTACACTTTCCAAGCTTTTTGCCGTTTTTTCTTTCTCTTCCCCTAGAATCTCATTGATCCATGGCATCCCTATTGCTTACTCATCAATTCATGAACTAATGTGATTATTATTCTGCCTACCGTGGATTAGAATTATTTTGTAATGCTTATTCCTTAATTTTGTATGATTCCTATTATTTCCCTTTCAGGGATTGTATAAATATTACACAAATATTGGAATGAAAGACTCAATAAATTATGTCTAATTCTTGTCATGGTATCAGAACTCTAAGCTTTTTCTCATTCTTGTATTTCCATTATAATAAACTTTATCGCTGCATTACATAATTTTGTGGTTTCATTGCTGCACTTCCTTTCTTTTCCCCTATTTTTCTATAACTTCATCCTTCACCGTATTGCTGCAAGCATATTCCATTGTTGCAACCTTCAATGTTGCATTGATGCAAATTGACCTCATTGTTGCAACTTTAGTTGTTGCATTGTCATGTTTCTTTCTTTTTTATTATTTTTTTAGCAAAACCACAACTTCCATATCCTTGAACAACAACAATATGTTGGGTTCATTTGGAGTTTAGGGATGTAATCTAAATCAAATAGAAGAGTAGCAAAATATCAATTCTACAGATCGGTTGAATGTAAATAACTATCTAAAGTGGTCTTGATAGGTTCACAGGTTCTTAAAGGGAAGAAAAAACTGGGCCATTTACAAAGCATAGAAAGAAAAAAAGCCTACTAGGAGCACTTGAAAAAATATGCACATCAGGTACTTGTACTCTAGCATTTTTCAGGTGAATTACTTGCCAAAATTTTCACCAAAATATTAGAGTAATCTTTTAGAAATTATAAAGCAAGATTTAAATGGATGATTTTTATTCGTTTGCTTGAGAGGGAATATGAAGCACCTACTTGGTTTTTGCTAGCTAGGCTCCACATGCACCAATACTTTTTCTTTCCTTCATCATCTGCTGTCACTTCATTGATCTGTAGGATCCCTACTACCTATGCC